GATCCGACTACGTTTTCTGAAACATCTCATAGTCCTTCCAGCAGGACCCTACTCCAGCCCACAGAGCCAAGCTTGCCCGCGTGTGGTGCCGACGACAGCTGCCCGACTTCATTGGTGAAGAGGAATGGTCATCCTATTTTCCAGAACTTGACTCACTTGAATCCCACGAATGGTCCCTGATTAGAAGAAGACCTGTCGAGTTTGCAATACCAGTTTGGAGTCCTAGAATGCAAAAGCTGGAGGACGGCTGGGAAGAAATGAAGAAGGATACCTGCGTGCCACATGCGATCAAGTCGAAAGCAAACTTTGACCTCTATTCGCGCTCACGGGAGATATTTTGAAATGCGACTTTAGCATGTTGTAGCACATAGTGTTAGCTAGCGTGCATAGAAATTCCATCGTCTTTCGCAGTTGAGAAGTTTCAAATATATTGCTATAAATGGGCGCAAATAATTTTGGGACACCCTGTAGTTCCCAGTATCGTCGGGTCCTCCCTCCTCATACTTGGTAATTTCCCACAACGTGAGTGCTTTCATGGTAAGAAAGATTTATGAAGGAAAGATGCAAGGTGAAGGAATGAGTGAACTGAAGAAAGCAATCGTCCATGCTTGGCATCAATTTAACTAGGAACTCATTGATAACCTTTATTTCTGAGGTAATTCGGAGGAATGGGGGCCCAACTGATTATCATTCATAAAATTCCTCTCTTCGTTATCATTTAGCTGCTTAATAAATTGATTCGCTTAATGGCTGTATCATTTGAAACATGGAAAAGTGGACCTTTTTGGAGGAGTGAAGTATGTAAGATTGTCTATGTTTTAGAGGGGAAATTTGTTGTCGACGTGCGAGTCAAGGTCTGATAATGGCACGTTTTCCATACCGAGACTTTTTCTGAGTGCCCCGGAACGTCAGCTTTGGTGAAATTCATAGAAGTCTGTATCATTATATTACACAACAGTTGAGCTATACATGCTAAAGCGTTCGTTATATGTCCACGGTCGCTCATCTACGATGAAGCCATTCAGCGAAATGTTGGATTATCAGAATAAGGTAATTCTCTCTAGATTTGAACGCTGAAACGCTTTGAGGAAATTGCGTTCGTTAATTTCTTCTGATCAGAATTAATGGTGGCCGATCATAGTTCCGTCCACTTCAGTGCAAGCCCTTCCAACTACGAAAATCTGAATACCCTTCTTCAACTGCCCCTCATCATTTTCTCCGCATTCAAGCACATTTATGGACAGAGTTACGAATTTTGATCTCACCCCCGCACGCTTCACTGCAAGCCCCGCCCACTTAAGCGATTTTACCACATTCCTTCCATTACCTCCAACCACTTTTCCCGCATTCCAGAACGTTTCTGAACAAAGTTACGAATTTTCGTATTAGCCCCGCCCACTTCGGCGCGAACCCGCCCAATTCAATTATTTGGGCACACTTTACTCTAACCACTTTTTCCCGCGCCGACGGTCACGCATGTCCCGCCCCCTGTAGGCGGAGCTCCTCTGAGCTCACATGTGCTCTGTTAGTCTTGTCCTATGCCCAACCCATCCCAAATTGACACGAGTTCTACAGGTGCTTCTTCGAGTGATATCGAATTTCAGTACAAAGTAAGGATTATATTCTAGTCCCTAAAAGGAATATTTTGCTCCTCTCATCTTGAATTGTGTTTTTGATTAGGTTTCACATCAGAGGTGTCCCACTTCAGAACTCAGCGCCATTCATGCCTTTTGGGAATCGAGGTATGTAGAGTCTTTAGTTAGGATCATGGGATTATGGGGTTTCTTACGTGTTGTATAGATTTGCAGCTCTCTCGTTCTCATCAAATAAGCGCCCAGCCACTTCTGGTTGTCTTGCAACGCTCTTGAACCTATTCAAGTGCAAGAAGAAAGCATGGCGTGTCACCATGTCATTACTACTCAGTTGTTTTTTTCTGCTCTAGAAAATTGCAAAACTCGAGCTCAACCGTTCAAACAGCACAACGCTCTTCATATTTCCTTCAATAAACACGCAATGTGTATACAGTAGTCGTCGAAGAATGTGCCGTATCTTCAATATTAGGTACTGATTCTAATAAGCATGATTTGCTATGAACAGTGATTTTGAAGCGGCACCGCCTGCAGCCGCATCGCCAGTGTACTGTCCGAGTGCTGCCATCGAGTTCGCTTTTGCTCGTTGTAGTAGTACGGCCTGAAATTTCAATAATACCAGATCAAATAGAATGAACTGTTCTAGCGTCAATTCCAGAGTCAGTCTTGTTATCAGACCGATTTTGTCTACCTGAGCCTCTTTCACATTGCTATCTTGACCTCTCCACTTCGCCATACATGAGGCTTGTAGAGCTCGTCCGTATGAAAACGTCAGCACCCATGGCTTCGGGATTTTGGTCTGAACCAGCTTACTTTTGCCGCTCCGCTCTCATTTCATCATTAAAAAGCTAACTTGATTCATAGCATTCAAATTTAATGTGGCCTCTTCTTCGGACTGCCCCCCTGACAGGAATACCACTCCTGGTACAGCTGGTGGTACGGAACGTAACAGCGCAGTGACTGTGGCTAGGCCGACTTCTTCTGGTGTTGGTTTAGGGCCCGCAAAACTCTGTCCTGCAAGTAGTACTTCGTTCTCGAGTTCTTTTTACCGAATGCGATAACAGCCTTTTTTTGCAACTTCACCTGCTGTAACCATGTTCGGCTTTAGAAGTGTTCCTTCTAGGTACACATGGTGATCGTTGAGTGCTCTAAAACAGAGCAACTATTCTTTCATATTGTCGAATGTCTAAGGCAAGTAAGAGTTACCGATAGCAGTAAGACAGCACTATTTCGGTAGTTCTCCGACAAGTGTCGAGATCATGAGGGCCATCGGGTAGAATTTCTGGTTCAACGATCGGCACTAGGCCGTTTTGTTGACAAATGGAAGCATAGCGAGCAAGGACCTGGAAGCAGTGTTTTTTGCGGGAATATTTCGGGTCGGAGCTAAGATTACTCGAATAACAAGTACTGCACAGAGATATTTCTCTGAATTCCCATACACGAATGCCAGGAACATTTATGGGAACGTGTGTGCCGAAAAGTAGTAACAAATGGTCACGTAGCGCGGATTTGCTTGGCGGGTGTGGACTAATTAAAGAACCAGGAGTTGAAGGTTTTTCCCAGGTACGCGGGTGGATTTGGTGGATGAACACCATATTTTTGCTATGTTGTGTTCTTTATACCTTCATCTGTTCGGAGACGTACATACATGCGAGGAGGCACAGAGTCAGTGGGTGCGGTGTTCTGCACAAAAAAAGGGTGGCTTAACCGAAAGCTTACATTCGAGTGCCTGAGAAGTAGTACAAAGGCTTAACAACCAGAATTAGACTTTTGCGATTGAGAAGATCGAGCTCATTCCCAGCGCTAATTGTCTTCGTTAGCACCAACATCAAGCTACGAAGAATAGGAGATGGAAGCCTTTTGGACCTGGAAAAGTTCTTCAAACAAGACTGCACTCTCTTCGAGGTAATCGGCGGTGATTTCAACGCAAAGATTGGCTCAGGAAGAATAGCTGGACAGATCCAGATCGAACTTTACTCAGGGGAGAGGGATGAGGCAATTCGTAGCTCCGAAGTCTATTCACACGGTCATTCTTTAGACAATTTTGTGATGCATTGGATTACGTAATGTTCATGAGAAAGATTTTTGTGAGGAAAGGGCTGGGAATGAAGCCCTAACATCGTTATCAATGTGTATTACTTCTTTCCCAGTTCGTGGTAAGACTACCTTATCGGCGGCATTGATGAAGAATATAAATGGATCGTCGAATATCTCTGCGATTGTGTTACAAAAGCGGAAGGAGCGTCTCTCCTACAAAACTCTCGAGCTCATACGCTAGGGTGGAAACGCGCGAGTTACTGGCAATCATCAAATCCGAACTTGGCAAGCTATGTAGATAATCGGTAAAGGAAGATTGGAAGAGAGAGGAGCTGAGCGAAGCCGCTAGGGTCGGGAAAAATACTTGCAAAGCCCGCCGCAGCTTCGCCATTTATGAGTCCGAGATGACTTCCCTTCTTGTTGAAACGGAAACTTACCTCGATGCAATGGAGAAGGTCATCTTTCACACCTACTCGGAACTCTTCGGCAGCCACGTCTGACTACCTACCAACCATCTTAGACAGGAGGAATATGTCGTCCTTTCAGTTCTCCGTTCCGAAATTCGATATGCCATCACATTAATCAAGAATTATATGGCGCTCGGTTCCAATGGGATCATACTTAAACATAGATAAAGCTCTCCACGTTATCGTTCAGACCCTGGCTTGGCTCTTCAGGTGGTACCTGCCGAAGTAAAAGGTGCACACATCAGGAAAGTTAGCAAGGCTGTGTCGCTGCGTAAGAAAGGATTCCTAGGTCTGTGAATTATCGCCAATTATAGCTAATTCCGGGGCCATAACATTTCGCCCGAGCTTTTGGGGTAGAAGGGGTTCGCCCCCGCCAACACCGTCCAAGATTTGCAGTCGACATCGTGTTCATAATATCAAACAACAAGCAAGCAGAACGAGCGTTCTCCGAATTCGATAACGTATGTGAAAAGAATGGCTTGCATCTGCTCTCAACGAAGACGACGGTCATGAGAAACGGATCGGTACCTTATGCTCTCTTCATAAATGGTACGCTGAACGGAGCGAGTGTCCGAACGCCCTTTATTTGGTTAAGAAGTTAACATTATGAACGACCTAGCTACGGAACTAGTAAAAAGGAAAGGCGTGGGGTGGAAGTATTAAAATTTATCGAAGGAGTAGAAGGAAGGCGAAAAACATCCGTCTCCGCGTTCAGCTTTCAACACTGTGGTCCTCCATGCTTTGACTCACGTTCGCAGGCTCGGATTCTACTGAAATAGGAGGCTTGCAGTCTTCGTCACCCAGCCCGCTGAGAAGGGTGATGCACTGACCAAGTCTTCCCCCAAGGAACGAAGGCCAGTGATGCCATTGTTTACGACAATGAATCGGAGATCAAGTATGCGGACAGTTTCTTGTGATGACTAGGCCCGGACCAGGGCTGTTACTGACTGATGCTTCGATAAGTCAAACAAACGCCAGGATGAGCGCAATGGTCGGACTTCTACAGAAAGGTCTGAACGAAAGGAATGCCTGTGTCGTGGCTCTCGAGCGAGTATAATCAGTTAGACTTTGTTGCTGTTACTAAAGATGATTAAAGACTTCGTTCTAGCTAGTGATATAGAGGATAGGAATTCGTTCCGTTCCGCTTGAGGATGTCGATGAGCAAGGAGGCGACGAGTGGAGTTGGTAATCACATGTCATGGTGGCGGTAATCACATGTCATGGTGGCTTCTTTCCATCTCAGTATACATAGACAAACCGGAAGCGTTTTCGGTTTGCCTATATTGACATGAAAAGAACCCTCTGTAAACCTTTGGTTAAGCAAAGCATTACTTTTGACCGTTACTCCTGTTCTACGACAGACAATCACGCTCGTTCTTCTTACAGTCGGGAGACGCGGTTTGTCCCTACATATGAACAAAACGCTCATCCTCATCTCGAATTGGTCCCTTTTCTTTCGACAGGCTGCTCAAACCCTAAAGTCGTCTTTGAGTCGCCTCCACCACTCTCAATTCTGTCGTCGTGCCTTCTCTTTTGGTG